CGCGAGAGCAACCCGGGTGGAAGTTGGGCAGGGGCGCAGAGAAAGTAGTCGAATCGACCGATCCCGACGATGAACAGGAGGCCAAGACCCACCCATCGTCCTCGAGATCCAGAAGAAAAGCGACACTGCCGCTGGAAATCCCACGAGGACCTATGCAAAGCGGCTCAGGGATACAACAAAGACAAGAAAAAAGGACGCACCGTCACGCGAAGCCTGGGGGACATCCGCTGCTGCAAGTACATGGCATCCAGGCCCAAGACCGCGACAGACGACAAGGGCGAGGAAACCGAGAAGGACAGGAAAGAGCCAAATCCTCGAAGACGCCTCACGTAAGCAAAGGGCCCGCCAACCACTGGGCCCCCTGCGCCGCCAGCGATCGGCACGTTTCCGGACAGACACCGATTCCTTGAGGAACAAACAGAACTACGCAATGCGACCGCGGACCTCGCAGACAAGAATGCGGCTCTCAACCGCGAGATCCGCAATGCCGAAAAAGGCCGCCAGCGCCGCCGCAGAGGGGTGGATTAACGAACTGCGCAAGTCGATGCGCAGCGAGGGCGAGAAACGCGAGGAGTTAGAGGCGCACTGCGCATATCTTCTAAGACAATTGACCAACGAGGGCGCCCGCGCCGAGTACGCCCACGCGGTGCAAGGGGCGAGCTCATCGATCTGCTCCGACGCGACTTTGAGTCTGCAGCCGCAGGACTCATTCAATGTTTGTTACGCCAGACACGAGATCGACATCGACGAGGAGAAACGGAGAACTAAGCACGCAGAGGAGCAATCTGCCAAGTCCAACCCCGCCACAGCATGCTACAGGGAAGCCACCTGCTCACAGACGAGCGCCTCCGCGCCTGCGAGAACTCTGCGCTGGGGAGATTTTACGATTCCAAGACTTGAGCAGGACCAGTCGACGCAACGGGCTTTCTATCAGTGCCCGATCTCGAACGCACCGCGCGAAGTCCATCTTCGCGGGGAGTGCCATGAAGAGTCGGCCGATATTGATTACTCCAAATATAAGATCGCTGAAGGTAACGACGCCGCGAGGTCACCGCGGAGTGCAGCGAGATATGCCAGGATCACGTCCAGTTTAGGTCAGACTCGGCTGTGTGCGAAGGGCAATGCCACCGCGTCGAGCAGGCTCTACGTCGGCAGAACGAGCAGCTTACGCGATGCGCGTTTTGCTAAGCAGAATGCCGCATGCTTCATCGCCACATGGCGCGCGGCGAGCTTGCCGCGGCTACGCATCAAGCTGGGCGCGAAGGCGAACATCCTGAGGCGCGCCAACTGCGCGCTGAGCAAAGCTCGTGCAGCCAATGAAGGACGACGAGGAGCTCCGCACCCATATGGGCTTATTTGCGCGACACCTTACACGCCAAGCGGAGTACTCTGGAGTTCGGGCGACCCATTTGGCGCCCAATTCTGAGGGGGAGCTCCAATCTCTCCGCTTCGGACAGAAAGAACTGGAAGCACATGTGTACTTCGGGCACCAGCGACTGCAGTTGGGGGAGATGGGCCGGCATGCCAGCCACGGCGAACAGGAGTCCGCCATCCGCGGGCTGCAGGAGGAGTGCAAGAAGGCCGAGCAGTTGCGCGTGCTCGAGCTGAGCGAGCGCCACCCACAGTTCAAGAACAGGAACCACCAGGACAACGCGACCATCAAGAAGTGCCACCACGAATGTCAGTTAATTTTACTTGCGCAACAGGACCTGGTTCAACGGCTACACCGCCTACGAGGACTCCGCAGGGGCGCCCAGAGATCCACGGCCAGCTTGCGTAACGACACCGGGGACACCTTTACATCCTATGCGGAGCTTGCGGATACCTTGCTCGCCAGCAAGATGGAGGACGTGTCGGATAGGCATTGCGCCATCACTCCAGGTGGTCCTTTCGAACCACGCCCAGCCGACGCTGCCGCCTCGGCAGATGCTCTCACCCTGTAGGGTATCTCCTACAACGACAAGAAGGACCCCGTCAGGCCTTCGCAGCAGCCACCCCAATGAGCACAGACTAGCGTGGCGCAGGATCAGAAAACGCCCGCGGTGCCGTCGCAGTTCGCAGTCAGCGCGCCGCCGAGACGCGCCAGGGCAGTCAGCGCTCCGCCCGAAGATGCAGGGCGCGTTCCCCAGGGCGACCCCCCATGCGGCTGCTTTGGAAGACATTCTCCCACATACGCCCATCCCATGTGTTTCGCCGGGAGGCTTCAGTGCCCCCTCCGCCCAACGACGGCTACGACGGGCAGACTGTCGTCACTAGAGCAAGCCGAGAGGCCCCTACAAACAACGCCGACATCGGTCCAGAGCCTCCGTCAGGAAGCGATGCCCAAATTTCCTTCGCACGAGGAAGAGCGGAAATGACTGCGCTGGGCGCGGAAGGGGGAGGATATGTTACAGCGCCAACTCGTTCGCGCACCGTGGCATGCTAATTCATGTCTGCGCGCGCCCGACGTGAGGCGCCCGCGCGGAGGCCGCGCGCGCGCCGGGCAGTCGGCCCCTTCGCGGGGGCGGTGGCGGGGCCGCAGCCGGGCCTGCGGGGCTTCGGGGCGGCGGGCGGGGCAACGGCGCTGGCGTGGGCGCGGGCGGGGTTGGCGGGCGAGGCAGCGGGCCGGGGGCGGCCCCAGCCATGGTCAATGGTCGCGTCGTTGAGCAAAAATCGGGACGGGAAGCTTTGGCCAGTTTTCGGCCTCGGGGGGCCCTCGCCGGGCCTTGGGGCCTTCGAGAAGAGCGGCTCGGGAGGAAGGCCCGGTCTGGGGGAGAGGGTCGGGGCTTCACGGGTCCCGAGTGGAAAAAACCAGGATCAGGTCGGGCATGATGTGCTACAGGCGGATTTTGGACGAGAAACGAAAATAGCCAAAACATAGGCCAACAGGGTCCCAAACGGGAAAGAAAATTGCTCCCGTAAAGGGACGTTCAGGAGGGGAAAAAACACACAGACACAGTTAATCGTCGATCCCCAAGAAAATATATGAAAATATTGGAAATGGGGGGAAGACAAAAACGCAGAAAATATTGGAAAATATGGGGAATCCGTTTATTTGTGTGTATTTCTTTATGTGTCCCAGGGCCCCTTCAGACGTGCCCGGCCGGAAAGCAGGGCGTCGCACGCCTGGGGCGGGGCAGCGAGCGAGGGGGGCGTGGGAGCGGCAGCGGGCAGGGGGCGCGCCGGGTCTGGGCGGGCGCCGGGGCGGCGCGAGGCCGGCCCGCAGCGCAGCTCAGGCCCCGCTTCGACTGCACGTGAGAGTGACCTTTCGCCGGAGTGACCTTTGGTGCGGGCATCAATTGGTCCCCAGATCGCCGAACGTCGCAGGCCTAGAGGTTGACACCAACACCAATTTCGTCGGTGTGCCTTCACCGAGGGAAAAAAATCGATCCCGGTGATGGTGGTAATATTATGGCTTCCAAGGTGGCCGAAATATTACCACCAACACCGAAATCTAGGATCATCTTCCCCCTGTGGAGGCCCCCCCCGTGTTGGTGTTGGTGCCCATTTCCAGGCCTCCAAGAACGCGATGCAGTAGTGGCGTCTTGCGCGCTTGTGTGCGGTCCCCCCGCGGCCCCCCAACAGCCGCGCACCAAAGGTCACTCTTGCGTGTAGCCGGCCGCTTCGGAGCAGGACTTGCGCGGGCCGCGGTCGGTCGAACGCCGCGCATGCGTTGGTTTGGGGTGCAGCTATGTGCTCGGTGTCGTCTAACCGATCCCCATGCCCATCCACATCCGCGTCCCGAGCCCCACGGTCTCACCACCTCAGTCGGGGGTGCGCCCCTCGAAGCCCAAAGGGAGCAGCCTAGATCCCCATCTAGGGGGCTAAATCGGCCAGTGGGGCCCAGCCCACGCTGGTGGGGATGGGGGTCGGGATGCTCATGCGCTGACCAGGACTTCGGTGCGTAGTTGGTTTGGCGAAGCTATCTGTCTGACTAGAGTGATCCAGAATACGGGCATGGACTGATTCGGAATGCACTTGCGGCACTCTCCGGATCCTCTTTGGAGGCCTCTGGGGCCGTCTTGGGGCCGCCTGGGATGTCATCGATCTGGGGCCCGTCTTCGGGGCGTCCTGGGGCTACCTTGTGGCCTTGCCGGGCCACCCTGGGCGATTCGGGAGGCGTCCGGGAGGCACTTCGGGGCAACCTTGGGGCCGTCTTGGGCAGTCTCGGGAGTTCTGTGCGATGCTTGAACATCCTGGGGCCAACATGAGAAATGCAAAGCACATTGAGCACGCATTCGTTCTTGTGAAACAGGTGCTCTGCCATTTCGGGGACGTCTTGGGGCCCACTTCGGCCACAAGAGAGCCAGCTTGGGGCTATCTTCGGCCGTCTTGGGCTCTCGAAGCCCTCTTGCGGAGTCTTGGGCCCGTCTCCGAGGCACCTTGAGACAGTAAAGCGGAGGCAGGACTGGAGAATCAAAAGACATCCGGTAAGCGCGAAGAACACAACACAGCAGTCCAGCAGAAACTTCTCAGCCTGGCGGCCCCAATGGGGGCCTGCATATAAACCTAGGGCCAGGAGGAGTGGAATGTATGCGTGGACTTGCCTTGGCTGCTGTTGGACCTCTGGGTCTGGGAGGATGCATTTTCGAGCTTGCGTGTCCACGGCATGCTCTCGTGGGCCAGGTGCGAAGTGTCAGGGTACCAGAAATCTGGATGCGTGTCTCTTCGCATGGGGACCGTGCGAGTGTGCGCCGGCATGCTCGTGCGCGTTCGCGGAGTGGATGGACACGCGCGCACGCGTGCACGTTACCGTAGCTTCTGCAGACCTTCGAAGCCCCTTCACGCATAGGCTGCACGGACGCGTGCCTCTGCGCATGAGCGCGCACGCGTGTGAGCTGTCGCGCCTGTGGGCGCACGTTTTGGGTAGAAATGCAAGGAAGACTCGCTGCCATCGCCCCAATTGGTGCCAACTCCGGATCACGCCGTGCGTTGCCTTGGGTTTCGCTGTAGCTACTCGGACCCAAGATACTGTACAGACCTTCGTAGCTCCCTCACGTTCAGAGTGCATTTGCGCAGCGATGGCCGGTGGTGCTGCTGCGTTGGTCATCCTCCTGGGCTTCGGGCTGGCCTCCGGGCTTCAGGTGCTGGACTCGGAGGACCCCGAGGGGAGCCCGTCCGCGTTCGAGGCCAAGGTGGAGGACCCGAAGCTCTGGACGGCCACGGGGCCCGCCGCGGGCGACCCGAAGCTTCAGGGCCTCTACGGCAAGCGCTTCCAGATCCACCGCCCGGGCGACTTCAGCCTCCTGAGTGTGCCCAACGCCAAGAAGAAGCACGGCATTCTGTTGGAGATTGGGGCCGAGGTGAAGGAGATGGAGATCGGGGACCCGTGCCTGCTGTTCATCAAGAAGATCACGGTTTCGGGTTCGTGGCTGGGCGGGGAGACTTTGAAGGTGCACGCGCCGGGGGTCGGCGCCGACTTCGCCCTGAGGGTGGACGCGAAGAAGCACGAGGGCGCCTGGAGGCCGTTCAAGAACATGACCGGTTGGGAGGAGGTCCTCCACAAGGACGAGGGCAGCGGCATGATCACCAGCGTCAAGGGCGTGATCGGCAGGCGCGAGGGCCATGCCGAGGACATCAAGGGCCCGTTCGAGCACCGCTTCCTGATCCGTGTGGCCAAGGAGAGCCAGAAGGACAAGAGGTTCACCATCGACGTCTCGCTGCCCAAGCCCGGGCGCCAGTTCCTGTGCGTCAAGGTGGAGCACGCGAAGGGCCTCGGGAGTGAGTTCAACAAGAACATCGAGGGTCTCCTCGGCCTCGAGAGCCGCGCCCTCGAGCACCCCGCCCTCGCTGTGCGCGACGAGTGCAAGGACTCGGCCACGCCGACCAAGGCCACCGAGCTGCTGGCCCTGTCCGGCGGCCTCTCCCGCGCCTCCGCGCACTGGGAGTGAGCGCGGCCGCCCGCGTGCGCACTCGGGGCTGGTCCCTGAAGACGCGTCCATCTTGGGTGGTAAAAGCTGGTGTGTGGACCTTGCCGCGGCGCCTCGGACCAGCGCGTGGGTTGGGCTTTGTGGTTGCTTCAGGCCAGCATCTGTCCTGTTCGCATTCTCTCCGCAACTTTGCGCGTGTGTATGTGTGTGTGTGAGTGTGTTTTTTTGTGTGTTTGTTATTTATTTGTTTTTTTGTTGTGTGTGTGAGAGAGAGAAGCGGGCCCCCTCCCGGGACCTTTCGCGGCCTGGTCGCCCTCCTTTTCGCTCGCAGCGTTGGACAGGAGCCTAGCTTTGGTTTGCAGTAGCGCTGTCGTGGTTCTCCACCTGCGTCCCTGTTTGGGCTTGCGCTGGTTCCCCGTCGCCCGTTTCCCTAGGACCTTCTCTTGGGTGGCGGCCCAGTTCGCCGTCGCGCGTCGGTGCCATTGTCGGGTACCGCCGTCTCCGTCTTCGGACGTTGTCTCAACTCTTTCCCACTCCCCACCCTGCCTGGGTGGTATGCGCGGTCGATTCAAAGTGGGTCCGCGTTTGAGTGTCCTGCCGCGCGCGCTCGCTCACTCCAACTGTTCGACTTGCTCCGCCCCGTCGCCGCGCGCGAGGCCGCGATTGCGGAACAAAAACATGTGTGTGTGTGTGGCTATAGCTCCCTCAACGCTACCCAACAATTGGCCGGTCTGGCAGCTTTACAGTTGTGTGTCCTAGCTGCCTACCACTTTACAGTGATTCAGTGACACCAATTTGCACCAGACTGCTGGCGCTTCAACTTATTCGGGTCGAACTTTCTGTTCCTCGCTTTGTTGGCCGCTGCACGTTGGTTCTACAGTACTTCACTTTTCCTTTCCACCAACCCATCAACACTGCAGTGGTGGACGTATCTTTCACTGCGCGTTACGACAAACTTCGTTCGCAATTCGCACTTCCATCAGCTGACCGCGTCTGAGGCTTCTCGGCGCCGCTGACTTCCAAGTGTGTGTGTGTGTGTGTGTGCGTGCGTGCGTGCGTGCGTGCGTGCGTGCGTGCGTGCGTACGTGTGCGTGTGCGTGTGCGTGGTTGTTTGTGTGTGTGTGTGTGTGTGCGCGTGTGTGTGTGTGTGTGTGGTGTGTGTGTGTGTGTGTGTGTGTGTGTGTGTGCGTGCGTGCGTGCGTGCGTGCGTGCGTGCGTGCGCGTGTGTGTGTGTGTGTGTGTGTGTGTGTGTGTGTGTGTGTGCGTGTGTGTGTGTGTGTGTGTGTGTGTGTGTGTGTTCGGGTGTTCGAGAGTTTCTTGGGGATGACATCCATGACCAGCTGGCGGGTCGGGGCTGCTCAGTGTACGATTTGGCGCAGGGGTTGCCCGGCTCGCTCGAGGCTCACATATTCGTAAGACAAAGCTGTTTTATGTGCCCGGTGGCTTGCAGTGCTCAGCTGTCAAAAGATAGCGTAAGCCCCGACCCGCAAACGGTACAGTCTCTTTTAGTATGTCTGTTTCGGTTAGATCGAATGTCGACGATATCGTTCCAGGCTTGGAGGCCAAACTTACGATGTTGAGTTGGTGGAGGCGTCTCGTGCATGTTTTGCGGAGCCTGGTGCGATCACTTCGGGTGCCAGAAGCATAGACGCGTGCCTCTGTGCATGAGTGCGCGCGCGTGTGAGCTGTCGTGCCTGTGGGCGCACGTTTTGGGTAGAAATGCAAAGAGGACTCGCTGCCATCGCCCCAATTGGTGCCAACTCCGGATCACGCTGTGCGTTGCCTTGGGTTTCGCTGTAGCTACTCGGACCCAAGATACTGTACAGACCTTCGTATCTCCTTCACGTTCAGAGTGCATTTGCGCAGCGATGGCCGGTGGTGCTGCTGCGTTGGTCATCCTCCTGGGCCTCGGGCTGGCCTCCGGGCTTCAGGTGCTGGACTCGGAGGACCCCGAGGGGAGCCCGTCTGCGTTCGAGGCCAAGGTGGAGGACCCGAAGCTCTGGACGGCCACGGGGCCCGCCGCGGGCGACCCGAAGCTTCAGGGCCTCTACGGCAAGCGCTTCCAGATCCACCGCCCAGGCGACTTCAGCCTCCTGAGTGTGCCCAACGCCAAGAAGAAGCACGGCAACCTGTTGGAGATTGGGGCCGAGGTGAAGGAGATGGAGATCGGGGACCCGTGCCTGCTGTTCATCAAGAAGATCACGGTTTCGGGCTCGTGGCTGGGCGGGGAGACTTTGAAGGTGCACGCGCCGGGGGTCGGCGCCGACTTCGCCCTGAGGGTGGACGCGAAGAAGCACGAGGGCGCCTGGAGGCCGTTCAAGAACATGACCGGTTGGGAGGAGGTCCTCCACAAGGACGAGGGCAGCGGCATGATCACCAGCGTCAAGGGCGTGATCGGCAGGCGCGAGGGCCATGCCGAGGACATCAAGGGCCCGTTCGAGCACCGCTTCCTGATCCGCGTGGCCAAGGAGAGCCAGAAGGACAAGAGGTTCACCATCGACGTCTCGCTGCCCAAGCCTGGGCGCCAGTTCCTGTGCGTCAAGGTGGAGCACGCGAAGGGCCTCGGGAGTGAGTTCAACAAGAACATCGAGGGTCTCCTCGGCCTCGAGAGCCGCGCCCTCGAGCACCCCGCCCTCGCTGTGCGCGACGAGTGCAAGGACTCGGCCACGCCGACCAAGGCCACCGAGCTGCTGGCCCTGTCCGGCGGCCTCTCCCGCGCCTCCGCGCACTGGGAGTGAGCGCGGCCGAGGGAGCAGTCGGGGGTGGTCCTTGCCAGTGCGTCCATTTTTGGTGGTAAAAGCTAATGTGCGGACCTTGCCGCGGCGCCTCGGCCCAGCGCGTGGGTTGGGCTTTGTGGTTGCTTCAGTCCAGCGTCTGTCCTGTTCGCATTCTCTCAGCAACCTTGCGCGTGTGCATGTGTGTGAGTGTGTGTGTGTGTGCTTGTGTGTGTGTGTGAGAGTGTGTGTGTGTGAGTGTGTGAGAGAAGCGGGCCCCCTCCTGGGACCTCTCGTGGCCTGGTCGCCCTCGTTTTCGCTCGCAGCGTTAGACAGGAGCCTAGCTTTGGTCTGCAGTAGCGCTGTCGTTGTGTGTGTTTGTGTGCCACACAGCGTGTCCCCTGTTGCCTATCCGCCAGAGCAGTCGCCCTCCGCCCAGCCGCCGACGCGAAAAAAAAAACAAGTGTGTGTGTGTGTGCGTGTGTGCGTGTGTGTGTGTGTGTGTGTGTGTGTGTGTGTGTGTGTGTGTGTGTGTGTGTGTGTGTGTGGGCGAGAGCTCCCTTGGGATGGCATCCGTGCCCAGCTAGCGGGGTCGGGTCTGCTCGGTACACGATTCGATCGGCTCAAGGGCCGCCCGGCTCGCCCGAGGCTCGCCCACAGCTTCGCAGGGCAGAGCTGTTCTGTGTGTGCTCGGGGCCTGAGGTCGGCGTCATCCCAACATACTTCTATTATATGTGCGTCGCTCCCTCAGGGGCGACGCGCGCACCGAGAAATCTTATAGTATGTTGTGGCGGGCGCTTTCTGGCTACACCGCTCGGAAAACGATATACTACAAGATGGGTATACTATATGTTTGGATAGGACGCGCGCCTCCAAAGAGAACATATAGTACTAGTACATCTCTGTGCGTCCCATGAGGTGCTCTGCCGACATGCGCAAGTCCTCTACCCATAGTTAGGTCGGGCATGTCCCCCTACAGGCGGATTCTGCACGAAGGACTAAAATTAGCTCCAAGATTTTTCAAAAAGTGTATTTTTGTTCAAACATCGTCCCCATACTATCCGTAAGGGCTTCGCCCCCTGCCGCCGGCCCCCTCTCTCGGATAATGGGAGATGCAAAAGCTAAATCATGAGGTCTGGGCGCCGCCGTGAAGCAGTGTCGGGACCTGTTTGTTTTTCGACCCTGACCCTACGGATCTGCGTGAGGGGTGCCGCCGACTCTCAGAGATGTGGCAAATCCCATGTGTTTCTGGACCCTGACCCTACGGATCTGCGCGAGGGGTGCCGCCGAATTTCAGAAATGTGGCAAATCCCATATGTTTTTGGACCCTGACCCTGCCGATCTGCGTGAGGGGTGCCGCCGAATTTCAGAAATATGGCAAATCCCATATGTTTTTGGACCCTGACCCTGCCGATCTGCGTGAGGGGTGCCGCCGAATTTTAGAAATGTGGCAAATCCCATGTGTTTTTGGACCCTCACCCTGCCGATCTGCGTGAGGGGTGCCGCCGAATTTTAGAAATGTGGCAAATCCTTTGTTTTTTTGGGCCCCGACCCCGCCGATCTGCGTGAGGGGTGCCGCCGTATTTTAGAAATGTGGCAAAGCCATGTTTTTGGACCCTGACCCCGCCGATCTGAGTGAGGGGTGCCACCGGGTGTTAGAAATGTAGCAAATCCTTTGTGTTTTTGGACCCTGACCCTGCAGATCTGCGTGAGGGGTGCCACCGAATCTCAGAAATGTGGCAAATCCCATGTGTTTTTGGACCCTGACCCTGCCGATCTGCGTGAGGGGTGCCGCCGAATTTCAGAAATGTGGCAAATCCCATGTGTTTTTGGACCCTGACCCCGCCGATCTGCGTGAGGGGTGTCAAGTTTTACCCGCCCCAGCAATTCAGAGAACATGTTTTGGGCATGGTAAAAATGTTCGTTTTTGGCCTCCCCCCCTCGCGCGGTCCATCAACAAGGAACAGTAAGCAGCAAGAAGTCAACAAGGAACAGTAAGCAGCGAGAAGCAGAACTGTAACAGTGGAAACTTGAAGCTGCAACCCGTACAGGAAACTGCGAACCTTAGCCCTACAGCCTGGTGGTCCCACAAGGGGGCCGTCGGATTTTTGGACTATTTCTGAATATTCCCCCTGTAGAGGGACAGGCCCGGCTTAAACCCACAAGCGCCCACAGCCTCTTCTCATCCATGGCATCCCGCAAATTCGGATAAGAGAGGGTGCGGGCGAGGGGCGGGTCGCGGGTGGGTCGCGAGTGAGTCGCGGGGTGGCTCGCGAGCGGGTCGCAGACGAGTCGCGGGGACGACGGCGATAACGATGCCGATGACGACGACGACACGACGACGACGACGACTTCCACGACTACGACGACGACGACGATTTCCACGACTACGACGACAACCACGACCACGACGACGACGACGACGACGACGACGACGACGACGACGGCTTCCACGACTACGACTACGACGACAACCACGACGGCGACGACGACGACGACGTTTGCGACGACGTCGACGACGAAGACGATTACGACGATTACGACGACGACGACGACGTCAACAACACTCATTTTGCATAATGTTCGCTCTCATCTGCACGCGGGTCAGTCAAATTGTAGAGACCTCTGGCCTATACCGCCGATCCGGCACGCTCTGGGGCGTTCCGGGACGCTCCGTGCGGATTCGTCCAGCTTGATAGTTTGTTGGATTTATCTCGAGGCAAGAGGGAGGATCAGGAGGCAGGAGAAGGATGAGGAGGGAGCAGGAGGAGGAGGAGGAGGAGGAGGAGGAGAAGGAAGAGGAGGAGGAGAAGGAGGGGAAACGGAGGAGGAGGAGGGTGTTGGCAGTCGCCGTGCGCAGTCTGTGTTGGATGTGATTTTCAGATGCGGTCATGTTCACTGGGGGAGTCTATTTTTGTATCTCTGATTGTTTTTCTTGATTCAGTTGTTGCGCGGCGCGCTGGGCTTGCGCTTCACTCTTTGTTGCTCACTGCCGCGTTTGCTGGATTTGGACGCTCTAGTTGGGTCTCCTCGATTTCGACGGGGATGGCCGAATCATGGGCGCGCGCATGCCCGCGGCCGCGCGCGTCGTTCAGGCGGTTCGCGGCGCTTGCGACTGCGCGAGGCACGGCGCAGTGCGTGCCCGAACGGCGTGCGCGTGGCATCAGCTATAGCGGCGGATGCCCGTTGCGCAAAGGCGTGGCTTTTGTTTGGTTTGGGAGTGGCTCACTGAGCCAGCGCGTGCGCGCGCCATTTCTGTGGTTTCTGCCAGACATTCGCGCCCGCGCGCTCCATAGTAGCGCGCCGCTCGCGCATCGCTGATGCGGCTTGCCCGAGTTCCGCTTGGAGAGGGTGGGGACAGCATTCCCTGCGAGTTTGTTTCGAATTAATGCGGGTCGCGCGGCGCATTGTCTTAGTTGGCCCGTTTTTGCCTCGCGCGCGCTTGCGCCTGTTCGGCGTCGCGTGCTCTGTTGGCATCGCGATAGAGAGTTCTGCCGCGCTACTTTTTCCCAACCATCCTGTGGTGTTGGGTCCTCGTTTTGAAGAGACAGCGCCCCGCGTCCCACCTCCTCTCCTCCTCCTCTCCCTCCTCGCCCTCCTCCCTCCTCCCCCTCCTTGCCTCTGCTCTCGGCACACCCCTCACACGTTTCGTAGCCCCATAGGGAGCTCCACCGAAGGTCCTAGTGGCACAGCTCGCATGCGGTTCCCCCACCCAGGGCAGCGTTTCGTAGCCCCATAGGGAGCTCCACCGAAGGTCCCAGTGGCACAGCCGCATGCGGTTCCCCCACCCAGGGCAGCGTTTCGTAGCCCCATAGGGAGCTCCACCGAAGGTCCCAGTGGCACAGCCCGCATGGGGTTCCCCCACCCAGGGCAGCGTTTCGTGGCCCCATAGGGAGCTCCACCGAAGGTCCCAGTGGCACAGCCCGCATGCGGTTCCCCCACCCAGGGCAGCGTTTCGTAGCCCCATAGGGAGCTCCACCGAAGGTCCCAGTGGCACAGCCCGCATGCGGTTCCCCCACCCAGGGCAGCGTTTCGTGGCCCCATAGGGAGCTCCACCGAAGGTCCCAGTGGCACAGCCCGCATGCGGTTCCCCCACCCAGGGCAGCGCTTCGTGGCCCCATAGGGAGCTCCACCGAAGGCCCCAGTGGCACAGCCCGCATGCGGTTCCCCGTACCAGGGCAGCGTCTTCGTGGCCCATAGCGGCGCTCCACGAAGGTGCCCAGTGGCACAAAGGGCCCGCATGCGGTTCCCCGCCAGGGCAGGTTTCGTCACCCCCACAGGGGCTTCCACCGACGGCGACGTTCCCAGTGGCACAGCCCGCAGCGGTGCCCTGGCCCATAGGGAGCTCCCAGGCGCCGACATGGCCACAGCCCGCCATGCGAACACCCACCCAGGGCAGCGCTTCGTAGCCCCATAGGGAGCTCCACCGAAGGTCCCAGTGGCACAGCCCGCATGCGGTTCCCTCACCCAGGGCTGCGTTTCGTGGCCCCATAGGGAGCTCCACCGAAGTCCCAGTGGCGCAGTTCGCATGCGTTCCCCCCCCACCCAGGGCAGCGTTTCGTGGCCCCCTCCACCGAAGGTCCCAGTGGCGCAGTTCGCATGCGTCCCCCCCACCCAGTACAGCGTTTCGTGGCCCCATACGGGGCTCCCCCGAATGCGATACCCACAACTGCACATGGTTGGGTCCTTCG